ATGGAGCCTGCTTCGGATTCTCTCTCTCTCCCTCTCTCTCCCACTGCCCCTCCTCCCACTTGTGCACGAACTCTCTCTCTCTCTCAAATAAATAAATCTAAAATATATATATACTGTACACACATTTATACATAACATATATCTAAAAGAATATTATGAGGGTCTAATGTTTGCTGCAGATTGAATTGTATCCCCCCCCATTCAAATTCATATGTTGAAGCTCTAACTCTAATGTGACTGTATTTGGAAAAAGGGCTGTTAAGGAGGTAATATCAGTTAAATGAGGCCATAAGAGTGGGGCCCTAATCCAATATAACTGATGTCCTTATAAGAGGAATAGATATACTAGGAGTGGTGGTCACAGAGGAAAGGCCATCCAAGGACACAGTAAGAAGATGGTCATCTTCGGGCACCTGGGTGGCTCAGTTGGTTAGGCAACTGCCTTCGGCTCAGGTCATGATCCTGGAGTCCCAGGATTGAGTCCTGCATCAGGCTCCCTGCTCAGCAGGGAGTCTGCTTCTCCCTCTGACCCTCCCCCCTCTCGTGCTCTCTCTCCCATTCTCTCTCTCAAATAAATAAATAAAATCTTAAAAAAAAAAAAAAAAGAAGAAGATGGTCATCTGCAAATCAACAAGAGAAGCCTCACCCAAAACTAACACTGTCAGCATCTTGATTTTGGAATTCCAGTCTCCAGTACTGTGAGGAAATAAATTTCTGTTGTTTAAGCCACCCAGTCTGTGGTATTCTGTTATGGCAGCCTGAGCAGACTAATACAGTGTTCATTTTGCTTCTCTATTTTCTGATTATTCTATTCTGCAATGTGGAAAAATATATATATATGTATATAAATATAAATTAAATATAAATGTAAATATATGTATAAATGTATATATATATATATTTTTTAGATAGGCTCCACACCAGGCATGGAGGCGAACATGGGGCTTGAACTCACGACCCTGAGATCAAGACCTGAGCTGAGACCAAGAGTTTGACCCTTACCAACTAAGCTACCCAGGAGCCCCTGCAATGTGGATATTTTAAATTTTGAAATAACGAATTCCATTTTGAAAAAGGTAATTTTATCATATTTATTAAAAAACAGGAAAAACTAAATTGTTTATTAAAGAAAATTAAAATGGGTATTCATAGGGGTGCCTGGGTGGCTCAGTCAGTTAAGCATCTGCCTTCAACTCATGTCATGATCCCAGGGTCTTGGGATCAAGTCCCTCTTTAGGGCTCCTTGCTCAGTGGGGAGCCTGCTTCTCCCTCTGCCTGCCACTCCCCTTGCTTGTGCTCTCTCTGACAAATAAATAAATAAATAAAATCTTTTTAAAAAATAAAATGGGTATTCATAATATATCCAGCCTTTTTTCTTGTAGTGTTTTGTTTTGTTTCAGATCTCCACACCTCCACACCTCTCCAAACTAGAATTTATCCTGGCTGCCAAAATCTCCACCAGTTTTGTTGATGTGGCTGAAATGGGAATTTAATCCTTGAACATATCTTATAACCTAACAGAGTATGCCTTTTACTCAAAATTGTGGATTATGGGCACCTGGGTGGCTCAGTTGGTTAAGCAACTGCCTTCGGCTCAGGTCATGATCCCGGAGTCCTGGGATCGAGTCCCACATTGGGCTCCCGGGTCAGCAGGGAGCCTGCTTCTCCCTCTGACCCTCTCCCCTCTCATGCTGTTTCTCTCTCTCTCTCTCAAATAAATAAAATCTTTAAAAAACAAAACAAAACTGTGGATTATATCATAAGGCATTGGCATTAAAGGTGAAATATCATTAGTAAATCAATTTTACCTTCATGCTTGCTCAGAATGTTACTTTTACTTCCTCCTCCATCATTGGAGGAGTAAATGACTATGAATGTCTTATTTACCTCAAAATAAACTATTTACCACTATATAAGCAGACATTTGCTGAGTTTCAAATTCTCAAAGGTTAAAAACATTCACACAGGACAAGGAAGAATTATATAACGTGGATCCTTTGTTCTTTTAAGTCCTGCAAAATGGCAAAATAGATTCGAAAAGCTGTTCACCAGAGACTATGGCTTTGGATCTACTTGCTCTTGCTGCAGGCCTAGAAGAAAGTTGAGAGAAAGATTAAAAAGATTATTGAAACAGTTTCCCCAAATACAGAAAATCTGGCAGACCCGTTGAAAAGTAAAAGTAAAATAGTGTGAAATGATAGCAACCAAATATGTTAAGGAATCTTTAATTTTCTAAACAAGAATGTGGGTTGAATAGAAAAAAAAGTCACATTTAACAGATGATTAGAGATTGAGCAAAATAGCTAAAAGTTACATACCCTAAAATTTAAAAAAATGTAATAACTTAAAGCCTAAGAGAGTCATTAATTCTTAAGGTTATTTATACAGTCAAAAGGTTTATCAGTTCAAATTAGAATGAGCATTGTAACAAATTTCAATAGTCAATTTTCCAGATTATTATTCTCATTATAGTTATTTGATAAAAAGCCAATTTCTCCCCTCACTATGTTTTTGGTCTGTTTTTTTAAAAAAAACATCTTTTAAAAATCTTACATGAATGGGGCACCTGGGTGGCTCAGTCAGTTAAACCTCTGCCTTCAGCTCAGGTCGTGATCCCAGGGTCCTGGGATAGGAGCCCCACAAAGGGTTCCCTGCTCAGCAGGGAACCTGCTTCTGCCCCTCCCCCTTGTGCTCTTGCTCTCTCTCTCAAATAAATAAATAAAATCTTAAAAAAAAAACTTACATGAATAATCCAAAAATCAGGAGGTAATACATATGTATGTAGGTATATATATACATATATATGTAAAGTATGACATATATACTTTCTTGTCGATGTTAAGAATTTGAAACATGGGGCGCCTGGGTGGCTCAGTCATTAAGCGTCTGCCTTTGGCTCAGGTCATGATCCCAGGGTCCTGGGATCGAGCCCCACATCAGGCTCCCTGCTCCGCGGGAAGCCTGCTTCTCCCTCTCCCACTCCCCCTGCTTGTGTTCCCTCTCTCGCTGTGTCTCTCTCTCTCTCTCTCTGTTAATTAAATAAGTAAAATCTTAAAAAAAAAGAATTTGAAACATGTATTACATTTTAAAAATAATGTTAATTTGGGGGAGGGAAACCATTAGTACTACAAATTAGGGTGACAACACTTCATCCTCTGCCAAGAGCCCAAAATATAGTTCTGACAAGATCCACTGATCAGGGGCGCCTGGGTGGCTCAGTTGGTTAAGCGACTGCCTTCGGCTCAGGTCATGATCCTGGAGTCCCTGGATCGAGTCCCGCATCGGGCTCCCTGCTCGGCAGGGAGTCTGCTTCGCCCTCTCCCACTCCCCGTTTGTGTTCCCTCTCTCGCTGTGTCTTTCTCTGTCAAATAAATAAATAAAAAATCTTTAAAAAAAAAAAAAGATCCACTGATCAACCAAAATCAAAGGCTGATAATTAATACTTTCATCTTTCCCTTCAATTACGTGGAAGAAAAAAACACTAAACTGAAACTAAATTATGAGAAGGCCAGAACTTTTAACATTTTCTAATTCCACACATATTTTTAAAGTTTAAAATCAAATCTCAGAACTTCAATTAAAATTATTTTAATATATTAAGGCTCATCCACAAAGTGCAATTAAAGTTTTGGTGAGAGTGGTGGAAAGTCAAAGGGATGAACTCTGTCTTTCCCTCAGATAATTACATTGTCTACTTGTGTAATTATCAACTTGGGAGGAGAACTGGAATGTGCCTATTTTTAAATATATTTTTGAAGCAAAGTGTGAAGGAAAGTTTTTTAAAGTACAAATACAGAGATAAAGGAACTGTAAAGAATCATTGTTTCTCAGTAATTGGCCGCAGTTTTAAAGCAAGTGTTTTAGGATTTCTAACTTTCTTTAAAGATCCTAGAACAGGTGGCAACTAGGAAAAAAAAAAAATCGAAACCTGATTAACAACAGAAAGGATTCTATGACTTCAGTCTACCACAAATTAGCCTCTCCATCATCTTGTTAGAATTCACTCCAGCCTCTATTATGAGAAAGTTATCATAGCCCAGTGGCTCCTCATCATAAAACCAAGGACCTATATTCATGTATTCACCCCTGTTCAAAACAGTTTTGAACCTCTGGGACACATAATAGCAAACTAATTATCATACACCAGTTTTTAAAAACCTTTGGAAGTACAGGTAACAGGGAGGGTAGGTGGGAAAGGTGGGTAAATGACAGATTGAAACTGGTTTTCAGGGCGCCTGGGTGGCTGTCATTGAGCATCTGCCTTTGGCTCAGGTCATGATCCTGGGGTCCTGAGATCAAGCCCAGCGTCCGGCTCCCTGCTTGGCAGGAAGCCCACTTCTCCCTCTCCCACTCCCCCTGCTTGTGTTCCCTCTCTTGCTGTCTCTCTCTCTGTCAAATAAATAAATAAAATCTTAAAAAAAAAAAAAAAGAAAGAAAGAAAGAAAGAAAACTGGTTTTCACTTAGCAATTACCTTGAGTTCAAGCTCAAACCAACCAACCATGGAGAAACATGGATAGTAACCAAAGTTACAGGCTCCGATGAACTTGAAGCAAGTATTCTTACTTCTTTTAAAAGCTTGCAGATGCCCGCGAGAAATCCAGATTTCAGTCAGCACTTGTTAAAAATATTCAACCTATCCCTTAATTCATTCTGTGCATACTCTAAACTTAACTGTCTAGTTTGTTAGACTTTACCCTAGATGCAAGTGCAAAAACTCCAAGATCTTCTTCCAAGACTCAGTCTGAGCAACAGCATGAGCTTTGAGCTGTCCACTTCCCAAAACGGGCACTCCCAACACGGGATCCAGTGATAGAGAAAAAAGGGCTGTAAGGGGGATCTATTCTGTGGCCAGCGTTAGGGTAGCTTAAAAGAGTGAAATTCGTCTTCCCATGCTCTGTGAGGTGCTTCACAGCTATGTCCGCATAAACAGAACTCTTCCAATGCCTGTCATCCTCTCCAACTATGACAAGGAAATAGGCATTGGCTTTTTCAAGGGGGATACGGCTTTCCCAGTAGGCTGGGTCCAAGGGGTCATCCAGTGCTTCTTTAACATCGTAAACTCCTGAATCCATGGCAGAGACTTTGTCTAGGTTGAAAGGCAGTCCTGGCAGGATGAATCTACCACATGTAAGGGCAGTAGTTGTGTTAGAGATGCAGCCACTGATGCTCACAACTGCAGCTATATTTGGGAGAAAGCTAGCCATGGAAAATGCCAGCTCGGCCCCTTTGCCAGAACCAATCACTCCAATGTTTGGACCTTTAACCTAGAGATTGAAGAACGAGAAGACAAACAAGGAGAGAGAGAGAGAGAGAAAGAAAAAGCATGATTGTTAATGGCGTCGCAAAGCCCTCAATAAAGAAAAAACATTTATGTATTTATCAGATGACTTATTTATTCATTTATTTATCCATTCATTTATTCATTCAACAGGTATTTGTTATAGATGTTTTCCAGCCCATTAGTACCACTTTCTTTATTCACTCTCTCCTGGACCTAAGGAGTTAATTTTAAATACATTTCTCTCTACAATCCCACTCACCTTTGGGTGACTTTGCACAAATTTAGCTGCCTCCTCAAAGTAATCTAAATTTAAGTCCTTCATGATTGGAGGTAGATCTTCATAGCCAAAAAATGGCAAAGCCAAAGTAGCAAAACCTCGACAAGCCAGGAGACTAGCTTGAGATTCATTTAATGCTCCATCACCAAACATATCAATCAAACCAGGAAAAGGACCGTCTCCTATAAACCAGGAAAGAGGATTAATCTGGGATTAGATGACAGGACATTTAATGGACTATGATACCTAGCTAATATTTTCTAAAGCAAATTCTAATTGTATAATTTATATTTTAAAAAATTATTTTTTAACTTAAAAATTTTTTTAATCTTTTTTTTCTGTTTTAAAACATTCACCTATTTGCCTTGGGAAAAAACATCTGTTTTGGCTGAAATAGGTTTATTGTTGTGGTTGAAATAGATACTTGTTTCGGCTATTTTGAAGCTATAAGTGTAAGAATGTTTTTATCTTTTTTTCCTATGAGAAAATCACTCAGAAATGGAAAAAAATATGAAAATTTGCACCAAAGATATGGAAAATGTTTTGGTTTGAAGGGTAAATCCTAATTAATCTAAGCAAATAGTTCTGGCAGTCTTGGAGTTATGAGAGTATAATACCTCATTAAAAAAAGCCAACTCTAAAGGGCCCTTTGAGTTCTCATTGAGCTTAAGAAACAAAATCACCAAAATCCCTGAATAAACAAAGCTTACACTATTTTAAAGGTCTAATGATGGTGTAATATAAATGAACAACATGTGCGGTGTAAGGGCCAAGGACAGCCTGCCCCTAGATATAGATATATACCTAGATGGTATATAATGATTATTTTGAGTTTGAAGGAATTCAGGGGAGTTCCCCTCAGAATATGCCACTTTGGCATGTGGATTATTTTGAGCTGAAGGCAATTGAGACCCTGCAGGTTCAAGAGAAACTTTTGCCCTCCCTTAATGACATGGAAAAATCTAAGTTGGGGGTCTTTCTCAGAATGAGGGTTATTACCAGAGATAAATTTTATCTGAGTGCCATCTATATGGCAGGGCAAAAATCTAATTTCCAAACATCTGCTCTTATTGCCCCATGAATTGAATTCCTTCCCTTCGAAGTCCTAGACCCGTAACCTTTTCTCCTTAGTTCAGGATGACATATATACCTTGTTTTGCCTGACTGTCTTTGGAATTTCCATGTCTGTGGATTCCCCATACATACAAAATTAAATTTCATTTTCTCCTCTTAATCCGTCTCATGTCAACTTGATTCTTAATCCAGCTAGAAGGACCTTGAAGGGGACAGTAAATTCTTGCTCCCTCACAGTGGAAAGGGAGTAAAATGTCAAACTATTTCCTTCTAATGGTGATGTTATTTCTCTTTCAACATTCCCATTGTTCACCATTCCAAGAGAAGAATGTCTCAGCCAATTGCCTCCTAGTATTTTTCAGATATATTCTTCTGTGTTATTCCAATAAAAGTATCAGATAAATCTATAAAAACAGATTAAGAGGCAAGAACATTAGAACATAAACCAAACTAAGAGATCTAAAGTTCCAGTGCCAAAGGCCGTTTCTAAATTTTCAAATCTAGAAACAAGTTAAGGTACACCTAGCCACCAAATTGAAAGCCAGGGTGTATATATTAAGGTAGTGATTTTTACAGGGTGGTTTTCTTTTTTTTTTTTTACAGGGTGGTTTTCTTAACATTCAGATATCTTGGCATATCTTGATCTGCTCTTTTTAAAATTAGATAAATCTCAAGCATCTCTGGATTCAAGATTACTTTCAGAAAGCCTAAAGCAAACCATGAAAAAGACATAACACACAAATCCTCAAATTATTCCAGCAATAGATTTTTCCGACCACAGGTCTACCCCATTAAAATAACTGAGAATTTGTTTATTTTGTTTCAATTCAGTAACTGAATCCCCAGTATGTAAATTTGCTAGTACCTTATAGGCTCTAAAAAAAAAAAAAAGCCCACCCACCCTCAACAATGAAAATGTTTTAAATCTCTCATTTAAAAGATTCTTAGTTGGTCCTGAGGATCCTGAGAGTGAGAGTAGAGAATAAGCCAGACTATTTTGTTGTTTGTTTGTTTTTTTTAATAAAAACCTCACTATTTCACTCATTCACTCAGCCCGTTTGTGGTCAGTGCGGCTCTCAAAGAATTTGACTACACCCTGATTTTAGCACCATCTAGCTGTGCGATTTGGTTAAAACACTTTAGGCCTCAGTTTTCTCATCTATACAGAAACTGTTCTTTGATCTATGAAATGAGCAACAGAACAGTTTCTTCATCATGATAAAGGTCTCCAAGGAATCAGAGTATGTCAGAATTAACTACAAAAAGATCATCTGTATCCTAACGTAAAACCAGTATAAAAAAAAGTGAACAATATATGTAATAGGACTTCAGTTATGTTGGAGCTTGAACGGATACCAGTGAAAGATTTTAATCCACTATTCTCGTCATTTTTACAAGAAATAACAGAAAAAGTCAAATTACCACAAAGCTCTGCCTACTAGAGAGGCAAACAAATACTTCATGCTAGAAACTGTAGCAAAGATGCTCGCAAGGAAAAGCATCGGCAGCACTAGGAGTTTAAAGGGGGCGGCAGCTGGCAGAAAAGAGGTATCCGAGCAGATTAAATTTAAATCCCAGGGGCACCTGGGTGGCTCAGCCGTTAAGCATCTGCCTTCGGCTCAGGTCATGGTTCCAGGATCCTGGGATCGAGCCCCGCGTCGGGCTCTCTGCTCGGCAGGAAGCCTACTTCTCCCTCTCTCACTCCCCCTGCTTGTGTTCCCTCTCTCGCGTGTCTCTCTCTGTCAAATAAATAAATAAAATTAAAAAAAAAAATTTAAATCCCAGTCACCATTTAGGAGAATGACTATCTCACCTGGTGTCTAGGGCGACAAAATAAAGGAATTAAGGCGCCCGCTTTGTTTTCAGAAGATAAATTAGCCAGCAGAGCAAGTCAGCTTTCAGAAATCGACTTCCTAAATCCATGCAAAGCCCTCTGCGGAAAAGACCTCACGCACCCGGGGGCAGCAAGAAGACGCCCCGGGGCGCAGGCGGCCGGCCTGCAGCCGAGCACGGCGCAGCTCAGGGCTGGAGAACCAGCGCTGCACCTGGGCGGAGGCCAGCGCCGGGCCCAGCGACACCGCCGGCTGCCGCGGCGCATGGTGGACGGTCCCCTCCACTTTGAGGGGGCTTTTCATCACGCCCCTCGGCATCTGGCTGAAGCAGGGATCCTCTGAGCCGACCGGCGTGAGGCTCCACAGGAGCCCCAAGGGCTCCACGCCCGTGAAGTCGCCGCCCAGAGCCGGGTCCCTGGCCAGGTCCGAGCCCCCGTGGCCGTCCGCCTCGTAGTGGGCCAGCGAGTGGAAGAGACGGCCTCGGTAGCTGACGGCCGACGCTCGCAGGGTCACCCGCTCCCTCGGGCCTAAGCCACTTTCATGTCCAGGAGCTCGTCGGCCAGCCCAGTCGTAGGCGTGACGGTCAGGGTCGCAGCCTTCTGGAAGAGAAGGGCCGATGTGGACATCGACCTCCGGAGGGGGAGGGGGATCCCGGGGGTTCCGAGCACGGCCTGGGCAGCCTTCCACATGGCCCCGGGATCTTCGCGGTTCCGGGGAAAGACACGCGGCCGGGCGGCGGCCGTAGGCAGAGTCAAACCTCCCCGCCCGCAGGGCAGGCGGGGGCGGGGCGGGGCGGGGCGGGGCGGGGCGGGGCCCAGTGGGGCATCCTCGGGTCCGGAGGGCAGTAGGGCCCCCGGCTGGTCCCTGGGGCGCCACTCAGCAAAAGGCTGCAAGAAGAGGCGACTTCTAGGAGGGCCCGGGGTCGGTTATGCTTTTGGGGTCCCTGTAGTGGGACCGCTTAGAAGAGGCAGGAGCTCATGCCCTGCCTACCGCTCGACGAGGTGAGAGGTTACTGATCTGACAGAATGCTGGCGGGTCTCTTTCTTTAAAGTCCCTCCCTGGCCACCAGGGGTCACAATTCCCTAAACCTAGTTGAAGGAAGCTACGTGTAATAGGCTTCTGCCAAATTCCTTCCTTAAAATTATTTTTGCCTGGGATTAAGAAAGACTGCCAACGTTAAAGTTTAAACGTTTTAGATGAGGCAGCACTACAGATGTATACACTACGGAAATAATCTTTATTGTCTTAGGGCCTGGCACAAGTATTAAAAATGTGTTTTTATATGCGGAAAAAAATTACATCGTGACTTCCCCCCCCCCAAGAAAAAGTCATGGGACTCACAAAATAAAACCATATTTTTTACATTCAAACAAATATTTGTATGTACATGCACATAAAATGGTTCTGGAAGGGTATACTTCAAGTTGATAACTGTAATTAGCCCTAGGAGAAGGCTGGAATAGGGTACTAAATTAAGAGGGTTAAATTTAATCTGTGACCGTCATGTCCAACCTCAGAATGCAAGTACAAGTCCAAAGTTCTGGAATCCAGCACCTCTGAGAATCTCAGAGTTGAAAGGCACCTGAAAGGCACTTAGTCCTTCTCTCTTAGGATCTTTCAAGTTGGAATCCTCACTTAGATTTTGTGGGATCAATCACTTCTCTGTAATGAAATTTAAATGTTATGTTTTTTAAAAGACAAATTTGTTAAATGCTTCACCTGGATTATCTAATTTAATCACAACAACCCAGAGAGGTAGTTTCTATTATCATCACTATTATTATCCCCATTTTATAGATGAAGAAATAGAGGCTTAGAGAGGTTAATAACTTACCCCGATCACATGGCTAATAAGTAGTGGAGCCTGGAATTTATATCTACCTCAGAGGAATCATTGAGGATACTACCATTTACATCACTTAATGTTTCTTAGCATGACAACCTTTGGAAGAAATTAATTGCTAAGCTTTGCTTTTATTTTATGAATGCTGTAAAGTTTGTGTAACTGATTAGATTTCCTTCTTTGCATAAACCATTGGAAAGCATATGACTGAATGAGTGGCCCAGTCAAGGCAAGTATATAGGACTTCATAATAAGCGCTATTGTGCTTATTGTGCTTATTATTATAAATGAGAAACCTCATTTCTGGCTTCATTTCATGGATACCTTTTCTCTTACTGCCTTCCTTCTTAGTCACAATTACCATATTTTAGGTAGCTTTTCAACAACCTGAAACTTTAGGTAGCTTTTCAACAACCTGAAATTCCTTTTGTAATCTTAGAAACAGGTGGCCATATATACAGTTAACTCTGAGGGGAAAATGACCAAATATCTTTAGTCAGTGGAGGGCATTTCTAGGCTACTTTATCAGTAAGGAAGAAATCAAGGTGGAGAGCTGTCCCTATACCTAGAAATTTAGTACCTAGAGATGGTTAGTTGTCATCCTTATGCTTAGCTTCTGGAGCTACCTTTTGGCTCTCACATCTCTCATACCCCCAGCCATGTTCCTTATAACTTTTTCCTGTGATTCCCCATCCCAAAGGCATCTGTAGCAGGACCACCTGGCAGTGAGTTAAAACAGAGGCTCCAAGAATTCACGTCATAGTAAATTATTATACTACATAATGAATAACTACACTTAACACATATTTTTAGCAATTGGTCAAAGTTAGGTTACCTCTAAGGAATCTTGCTTTTCATTAGTTAAGAACTAATGGGCAGTTGTTTGGATAGACTGAAACTGGTGAAAGATTTTGTATGTGCCCAGCAAACCATGTGATGTGTCTCAGGAAAATTTTCTTGCACTCAGGGAGGACCCTCTGCTCTGGTCTCTTAGAATCTAGACAGTGCTCAGTACATTGCAATGAGTTGAAGCAGACTGATCCCAGTACTTCCCAGTAGGAAGACAATAGGAACAGATGATGCTGGGAGGAAGTCTAATTTGGCAATTATATATGACATCCAAGGATTAAGGCAGTGGCCCACACGGCACTCTTAAAAATCTGTTGTATCAGGGGGCACCTGGGTGGCTCAGTTGTTAAGCATCTGCCTTCAGCTCAGGTCATGGTCCCAGGTGCCTGGGATCGAGCCCCACATTGGGCTCCCTGCTTGGCAGGAGGCCTGCTTCTCCCTCTCCCACTCCCCCTGCTTGTGTTCCCTCTCTCACTGTCTCTCTGTCAAATAAATAAATAAAATCTTTAAAAAAAAATCTGTTGTATCGGGGTGCCTGGGTGGTGTGGTCGGTTAGACATCTGACTCTTGGTTTTGACTGAGGTCATGATCTCAGGGTTGTGGGATCAAGCCCTGCATCGGGCTCCACGCTGGGTGAGGAGTCTGCTTGGGATTCTCTCTCCCTCTCCCTCTGCCCCTCCTCTATCTTTCTCTCTCAGATTAATAAAGAAATCCTTCAAAAATTGGTTATAGGGGCACCTGGGTGGCTGTCGGTTAAGCGTCTGCCTTCGGCTCAGGTCATGATCTCAGGGTCTTGGGATTGAGCTCCATGTTGGGCTCCCTGCTCACCAGGGAGTCTGTTTCTCCCTCTCCCTCTGCCCCTCCCTCCTTATGCTCCCTCTCTCTCTCTCAAATAAATAAAATCTTTTAAAAAATTGGTTAAATCAGTATATCAATACAGTTTTGCTTACAATAAATTTTGTTGTAAAGAATTCAGCTTGGGCGCCTGGGTGGCTCAGTTGGTTAAGCGACTGCCTTCAGCTCAGGTCATGATCCCAGGGTCCTGGGATCGAGTCCCGCATCGGGCTCCCTGCTCTGCGGGGAGCCTGCTTCTCCCTCTCCCACTCCCCCTGCTTGTGTTCCCTCTCTCGCTGTGTCTCTCTCTGTCAAATAAATAAATAAAATCTTTAAAAAAAAAAAAAAGAATTCAGCTTTACTTTGTAAAGTTATCCTTTATAAATGTTGAATTTTGTAAAGGATACATTATCAGTAAGGAAGAAATTGAGGTTTCATTCGTAAAATAAAAGCAAAGCTTTGCATTCATAAAATAAAAGCAAAGCTTAGCATATGAAAAATATCAATGCCCCCAATCTTCAGAGTGGGGTTCAGAGACAAGTCTTGAATACACATTCAGGAACTGGCAAGAAAGAAGCAGAGTCCATTCCTTAAGGGATTCAAGTGGGTATGTTCCCAAGGTTCAGACATGGTCAGTTAGGGTCCAAAGGGGATATGGAACTCTCAGCAATACAGAAGCTCAGTCTTCACAACCAGAACACAGGTCAAAGCTAGGCCAGCAATTGAGAGTTGGGTAGGCACTTCTTACATTTCTCCTATTTCAGGTTAAGATGGATCCTATGGATAAAATCAGGGTTAAGCCTATATGGTAGGTAAAGTTCAGGGGAGAGAGGGGTGGCAGTGAAGAAAGGAGGGTTGCAAAGCCTTGGAATCCAACAGGACCTGACAAGGAGCTGAGATAATTATCTTGTTACCAAAAGTTCCCTATGTGCTTTGGAAAACCCAACACATGTTGTATGAATTAGATTTTTATTAATAGTATCTGGTCTATGATTACAATGTTATATTTTGCTGGACTGGACAGATTTTTTACCATTGAGATGTTTATGGAAAAAAATTTGAATTTGCTGCCAGGCATCTACCTGTGCCCTTGATTGAGCCTTTGGCTCACCTCCATGGAATATTGGTTGGTGTAACACTGTATGTACAGAAGCTCTACAAGGAGGAAAATAAGCTGGTTCAATACAATGACCAGTTCCTGGGTAGTAGATTATCTGGGGTCTGTCTTTCCCATGGGCTTGTAACCGTTCAGAGGCTATTTGGGCATAGAAGTCACTCCTCCAGTTATGATCATCCATGCCAACAATAAACAGGAAGGGCCCCTGGGCCCTTTCCAGTGGAATAATACTTGGGTGATTGCGTTCCTCCAGTGGATTGTCCCAAACATCCAGAAAATTCCAAAGTCCTGATTCATTAATTGTACATCTTCCTATGTCACTGCCAAGACTGGGAACAATCATATCCTTGTAATGCAGAGCAACTATTGTGTTGGCCACACAGGAATTGATAAGTACCGTGGCAGTGATGCCTTTCAAGAAAGAGGCCATGGAGAGACACAGGTCACCTCCTTTGGAGAAGCCAAGAAGCCCAACATTAGGGCCTTTCACCTGAAGAAGAGAAACAGAACAAGCTTAGAATTTGTAAGTGGAGGACATAAATGGTGATTTTATATTCTCTAGGTAGCTTTCTTAAATTTCATTCGCTTTCTTTCCTTATGCAACAATCCACAAAGCTCAACTGTCTTCTAATAAGCAAATCAATTGATTTCTTAATATACAGGCCTTCCACTAATATTTATGGTGACTGGGTCAAGAGTACACACAGAGACCCATACACCCCATACCTAAATATTTAAACGTTATAAATCAAATGAACAAACTCTTCAAGTATATTCTTTTTTCCCACCTTGATAAATATACCTCCATAACAGAAAATTTGAAAGCTTGGGAATCCCTGAAGTTCTGTACTGGAATGTGGCCTGGGGGAGAGCCAGACCCAGTCCTTGGTCCCTGGTCCACCTTTCTTCTTTTCCCATCCTGAGTTCCATCATGTACTTTAAGGGGCCTCTCACACATGTATGTGGACACCCCAGCCTACATGGTGAAGGCCTAGGTGTATTCACATTGATAGACCAGAGAAGAGACATAGAGCCTGGAAGCAGGATTAGTGCTATTTGGCAAAGAATTCTGGGGTTCCATATCACAAGAGCATGGTGTGTGTGTGTGTGCGTGTGTGTGTAAGGCACATGAATTCCAGGTGGATACATTCCCTGGGTCCCTTGGATTCCTCACCCTGTGGGCAGGGATGCAGCCCAAAGGCAGGCCAGAATGTGGCCATCTAAAACAAAAGGTCCAGGACAGAAGCCCCTCTTGCCTAGGCCTAAGGGCACAACTGAGTATATACTGGTCTCTTCTTTTTCCCTGGGGCCTTATCTCCTCTAATAAACCAATAATCACAGTTCAAGATCATCCAAGTTGTAGCAGCTCTGCTAAGAGACCATTCCCTGAATTCTGGCAGTGTTAGACTATCCTATAGAACTTATAGAACATTTTATTACTTAACATTAGAATATTTGAGTTTCTTTAAGTCTAGATAGTTGCAGAGTATGTATTCCATTTATAATCAGACCAAATGTTTTGATTATTTTTTGCAGTCTCAGATAAGAACTCTCTATAAAAACATAATACCATTATCACGTTTAACAAAATTAATGATTCCTTAGTATCATCAAATACAGTCCCTATTCAAATGTCCTAAAAATGTCTCTTAATAGTCAAATGTTTTCCTCTATACATTTACATTAGCCTTATAAGTGAGAAAAACTGAATCTCAGAGAAAACAGTTGCCTTGTTCAGGATTATAAGGCCATGTGGTGGTAGATGGAGAACCAGAATTTAAGGTTAGTAACATTTTAGTAGAGCGCTTTGAATTATGGTCAAGAATTAAAGGGAAATAAACAGTTGAGTCTTAAGAGATTGG